GCTGGGATACTGAAGGCTTCAGGAAAAAGACAGAATGCTGGCAACCGATCATATTTAACCAGTAGGCTCTTATTTTTATGACTGGATTCAACAATTCCTTGGGAAAAAGAGGGACAATCCAAAAAAACCCCAAAAAACATAGAGCACTTCTGCCATATTCCTTTCCAAAGTATTTGGTCCTTAGCAATGTCCATGGTATTTGAAATATTTAGAATATTCAGGTTAAACAAGATTCAAGAACCTAGAAGATTTCAAAATGCTACCATTGAAATCCTTGAGTTCATAAAAGCCTGATTGCTTATCAGTATGTTGAGAAACTTAGGACATGCAGCAGAATTTCTATTAATTGTGCATATTAGTACTAAATGGGACAAAAGACTTCTTTTAATCCTAGTCTTCACAGTTGTCTTTAGAATTTTTACATGAAAAAGGAGTAAAAATAGGCAAAATAATGTGTTTATGAGGCACAGTTCTTTAGAAGAAGCTAAGTTTTATGCAGATCTAAGTCATATTGATATACAGGAATTTATTATGTGGATGAAGGAAAAAAGAGGAAACTTCTTTAAACTGAGCCTTTACTATTGGTACTTCAGTCACATAAGCAGCTAGAATCAATGGGAGGAAAATATTTAGTAAATCACAAGTAGCAAAACTAATCAACACCATTTTACTATAAAAAACTTTATTCTGTGACCTTTGAGACCCACATTGATTCTGAATGCAGAAGAATTATGTTATTAGGAGTGTTTTCTGAAAATTTAAATCACTCTGTCCTGTGAATTCTATTCTGAAGAGCAGCCTGGAATCAAACCTGGACTCAAAATGAAAAAAATAGAGAGAATCTATATTAGTTATGTGGAAGGGTCGTTTGAATATGTGTATCATTCAACTATAGCATGAAATTGCATTGAGGTCACAAAAGGATTGTTACTGAAAATTACTGTGTATGAAGATGGGCAAGAAACACCTTTAATCACATCATGCCTCAGCTGTCAGAGGTTCAATAAGCTTTCTTCATGCCAAACTTATGTTACTTCGTGTTGCAAACCATGATATTTCCTTTTTGAGCTCTCATATCAAATGTTGTGTTTATTTTTTAAAGCACAACTGCAAGCCAGTATTAATTTAATAATTGTGTGATTCTATTGGTTATATTTAATGGCTATTCTAAGCACTTAACAGTGAAAAGATTGTTCTTTAGCTCACTCTTGTAACTGGGTATATAAGTAAACACATTCTCATGCACATGTTTTTAAAAGTCATTCTTAGTTATGTCTGAAATAAAATTTAAAAACAAACCAAAAAAGAATAGATCAGATACTAATGTTGCAATATAAACCTATTTGAATTTTCTAATGCCCTCAATTTTTCATCGCTTTTAAAGATATTATTTTTATATGTATTTTAATCTTGCTGAATATATCTGCATAATAATAACATAATAAAATTAAATTAAACCTGATTTAAAAAAAAAAAGTTTTTAAAGATGTGGTGGGGAATAGTTGTCCTTTCTGGCTTTCTTGAAGGTCTAGAACTATAAGAAACCCATTTTTCATTGTCATGTCTTTTTGATTGTCCCACTTCCTTTTTTTACCTCAGTCTTGTTGGCCCATTCTTGTCAGACACTCTATTTCTGAGGAATTTCAATTCACCACGTTTTTTTCTTTTCTACAGTCAGCCTTTCACACAGAGGGAGAAGCACTCCATGCCAGCCCCTGGCTGACTCTAGTGTTCCTCTGAACTGTCTTCTTTCTGAAAAAGATCTCATTGCCACCAGTAAAAGGTTACTTTTGTGTGTGCATACCAATATGGATGAAGACAGAGGAGTTTCTTGTTGCTTGTAAATAGTGTTATAGAATTTCTTTAGGGCTATGGAAAATGTGCCTGTCCATCGACATTATACCAATGCACTCATTTAACCACTAGTTCTAGCTTAGATGTACTGTATAAAGTGGGGAATAACCCCCACTTATATCAAAACTGTGTCTATCACATGTAATATAGATGCAGTAGCAGCCTCTTTGTAAGTGTTCAAGTCTAAGCTGAGAGAGAAATTTAGGTCTTTAAGTGCCATTGAAATGCCTCCTGAGGATTTTTCAGAACCTAGTACTCTTTCCCAGCACACACACACACAAAAAAAAAAAAAAAATGCACACTGCAACTAAACAAAAAAAAATCCTAAAGGAGATACAGAATTTTTATGATTGCATTTATGAGACTTATCTGTTTTGATGGGCATTGATTAGTGTGTTCAGAAAAGGCCTAAGCTGAATGTCTTGCTAACTAATCTTAAAAAAAGAATTGGTTTTGTAGTGAGATTGACTTAATTTTTTTCTGTTCTCCCCAAACCAATGGGTCTGCTTCCTGTAAGCTGCCCCTAGGCTTAAATGAATGGCAGAACTTGCAGGAAAGGAAGCTTTCATTTAAATTTATTATTATTAAACAGATGAAATATGTTTTTTTTTTTTTTGTTAATATTGCTGTCTCTTTAGCTCTAGGTGGAGTTTTTTCTTTGTTTTTGTTGTTTGTATTAACTCAGCTCCTCTTTATCAGTTTTTGCTTGGTTCCTGGATTGAACATGGTTCAAATTTTCTGTTTAGGAATATGTATTTGTAGAAGTATAGAACTGACTTTTTGGTGGTGCTGATATGAATTATGAGAGCTAGGAATGTACTTAAAGGTAACTTCATGTCTGTCAGTGACTCCAAGTCACCACAGTACATTGTTAAATATGACTTGACAGATGACTGAGAGAGTATTTTCAATTTTATCTTTTCCTCTTAGTTTATCTGAATAACCAATGTATATGGCAGGCATCTGAGGTGTAACAGAGAAACTGGAGCAATAATGTGTGTCAGCTGGTGCTTAATTAGATATTTCTGCAATAGGGAATAGCAGTTTCCCACAATTAATATATAATATATGGAAGGTAAAAAGTCATCTGACTTATCAGGAAGTTAGTAAGTAATTGGGCCAGTAAAGTTGTTCTTAAATGCTTTTAATTTTTTTTTACTGTACACCCCAAATAAGCAGCAAAGCTCCTAAATGTTCCTCATTATAGTTGGAGATACTAACCCAAATGCAAATTGCTGCTTTCCTTACAGCTGTGCTTACAGCGATATAGATGATGATTTTTACAAATTCTCCTTAAGATTAGGTCATACGAATCCTTGTGGGACTATATCTGGTGTGTTGCTGTAGTGCTTCTCACGTGCAGCAGAAAGTCAGCAGTTCCAAGGTGCTGCTGGAGAGCCCAGCTGCGGTCAGCAGGTACCTCACTCAGACTGGCAGCATTTCTGAGCAACAGCTGTGCTGTGAGGATGATCAAACACATGAGATTCACCAGTCATATTCCCTGCAGTATCACAGTGTCTGCTCTTGACTGGCTGGACTTACATGATTTAGTTTTTAATTATGCTTTTTTTCATTGGTCTCTCTTTACACTGAAAAAAGATTACAGCATCTGTTTCAGAAAGTCAAATAAATATGAAGCCCCATTAGGATATCTACATGTGTGACCTTAAAAGGCAGTACTGTAAATTGTACAGAGCAGTTCCTGACTTGGACCATCATTTATTCAAAACACATACCAGAGCACAACTGATTTACTGAACTTTTACTTATGGTAACATTACTTCAGTAAGTTGTAGGCTTAATCCTTTTTCTGCAATATTATAATGTTGCATGTAGAAAAAAAGCACTTCTCTTATGCCTGTCTGAAGAGTTTTTGTAAAAATAATACTTGAAGCAAAAATTTGAATTAATCAGAAAGTGACTGTAGCTGAAGAAAATGGAAAAGCAGAACGATGGTGCTTGGTCACTGTCATCCTTAGCACCAGGAAACTGAGCTGCTCCTTTCTACTAGAGGTTCCATTTGACCATAAGTTTTCCAGTAGCTAGGGAATTTGGAGAGAGGATTTGTGTGAATCCTGTTCCTCTCTGTGCTGCGCAAGTAATAGGAGCTTTCTACCGAAGCACACTTTAATGGATGAGTCTCTTATCCATCAACATGGAACAATGGAGCTGTAATTGCTGGAATTTACATTTTGGCTAATTATTTCTGCTTTTATTTAAATTAGTTTCTAAGCATTTGTTTTATTCTGGCAACAGGCCCAATTCTTTGGTAACTGTATAGAAGTTTTCACGTGTCTTTAATAAACAGTGCTTCCTCTTTTCAAATTTTACTTCTTTTTTTTTTTTTTTTTTTTTTTTTTTTTTTTTTTTTTTTTTTTTTTTCTTTTTTTTAAGCATTTGTTTTATTCTGGCAACAGGCCCAATTCTTTGGTAACTGTATAGAAGTTTTCACGTGTCTTTAATAAACAGTGCTTCCTCTTAAAAAATTTTACTTTTTTTTAATTTTTTTTTTTTTTTTTTTTTTTTTTTTTTTTTTTTTTTTTTTTGCTGTTTATCTTTCCATTCTTAGGTGTTTGGATTTTTTTAAACTAATTCTATTAATACTTTGGCATCAATTTGTTATATTTTCTTCTTTTTTTTTTTTTCTGTTTACTGGGTTTCTAGTCCTAACAGGTGTCTTTTACCAGTGCAAGAAGGTTTTTCAAATTACTACTATGTGTTTATGTGACTGACATACTGTGCCATGTCCATATGCAACCAGATCCAGAGTCTGATCAAAATGTCTTAGCTCATGGCACTGAGTTCATGCAAGGTCTCACACTGCAGACAAATTGCACATGCCTTCTAACCAATTTGGATAAACAAATACTCTGAGGAGAATCTGACTTATCTTTTTTTGGTAGGCTTTAATTTCTTTGACCTTCCAGAACCTCAGGCAATTGGATGTATAACTATTCTCCACTCTACTAAAGACAAATCTCTCTCTTTTCAAATATTTATATATAGATATATATATATATGTACACACATGCACACTTATTTATCTATAGCTAAATAAGGTCATAAAAATCCAAAAAAATCTAGGATGTTTTAACCATTTCATTGACTTTACAGATTGTTTTTAAGCTGTTTTTTAAACTTTAAAGGCAACACAGATAGTGAACGGTTCCAAATGGTAAAACAGAAAATCCCCTTCAAATATAACCGACCTGTAGAGGAGTGGCTGCAGGAAAAAGGTAACAGTCATTAAAACTTTCATTTTAAACCCATTTGGTTCTAAACTCTCATTTTTAAAGCCTGCAAATAAATGTTTCTTAAATGATAATCGCCTGCTGCATAAATGACTGTTTTAATTTTCATTATAATTTGTGTCAGCTTCCACCTGCCATATGTTGATAAATCATGCTATAATACATTGCTATTAAAATGCAGTTAAAGGGACGAAATTCTAAGCTTGCTGTAATAGTAATGACAAACAACGAAAAATTCAGGAGATGATTTCTCAAAAAAAAAAAAAAAAAAGCCAAATGAAGAAGAGTGAAGAGCAACAACATGTATTATGGCAATTTAACCACTGCATGATTTTCCTATTTTAATTTGAGCTTGAGCTACATTTATATCTTTTTTATTGTAGTTTTCTTAAAAGATTTTCAAATCTACTTGTTAAACCACTTCCTTTAAGTTGATTTTTCTCATGAGTCTGATTAGCCACTATGGCTATGTATTTCTTAACTGTATTAAGATAATTAAATGATTTTTAAAAATGTTGTAAAGAAAACATTTTTTACCATTTTCATTTGAATTACAGAGAGGGAGACAGAGAAAATTATTGTTCTGTTGCTTTTATGCTATGTCTGGAGTACAGGTTGAACAGTCAAATGATATTTGTCTAAAATAAAGACAAAATTCTTAGTCTGAAGCAGTGCACTTTGTGGGTTTGCCTGGAGTAATTGGCCTCAGTTCAACAAAAAACTTGTTAACATGAATAAGTCCAGATGGTTTGAGTGAAAGTTCTGCATACAGTCCATGACCTTTTGAAATGGGACTTGTGTCAGAACAGTGATTTTTTTTTTTTTTTGGTAAGAAATTTGGAGAGGGAAAAAAAGTATCTTGGATGTAGAAACCCATTTTAAAGCCTGTTGAAGGTAACAGAATAACTTGCTGATTTCAGAAGGCTGTGAGCTAGGCTCTTGGTAATACAGTGGAGTTTAAGTCAGGAAGATCTCTATTAGTAAATGTGGTATTAAAAAACAAAAGCACTGTAACTAACTCCTTGCCTTGAAATCTAGACAAAGCAGAACACAATCTTCTCTTGTTTCCATTTATGAAAGTAGTGCTAATAAAAAGGGGTGACCTTTGAACTCAGGTCTTGCATTTTCTGTGCTGATTTCGACTATGGTTGTTAACGCATTTTCCAGGAAGGAAAGCCAATTTCTTGTAGAACTGGAAAAATATCATTTATGCTCTGTTTCAAATTTCTAACCTCAGCTGAATTAACAATTTGATTTATCCAGTATGAATTAAGGTCAGGAAGGATGTGGCTAAATCCAGTCAAAATATTTTCATGTGAAGGGCCTGATCCTGCAAAGTGTTGTGCGCACTCAGTTCCTATTAACTTCAACGAGAGCTGGCAGTGTTGCTCACTTTTCAGGTTTGGTCTACAAAGGTGTAATGTTTAAAACTAAAGCTAAAGTATTAATGAAAATAAGGCAAAAATATTTGTGTAACCAAAATAGATTTTTTTTTTACCACCAGTATGTCATAAACAGTTAATTCAGCTAAATTGTAAATAAATTTGAAGATAACAATAAACAGAAAATGCTTATTGAGTCTCAGTGGGTTGCCCTATTAATTTACAAGATCAAACTAAAATAGATAAATAAAGTTTAACACTAAAAAGATAATAATTTTGGTAAGTCTGAATTGCTAAAGTCCCTTTAACACTAAAGACAATGATTGCCTCAATTTTGTTAAAACAGATGCATGTCTAATTCCTTGATGCAATTCATGTGCTTGAGAAACCCATCTTTTTTTTTTTTTTTTTTTTCCTTTTGGTTTGGTTGTGGGTTTGTTGGGTTTTTGGGTTTTTTTGGTTTTGGTCTTCCACAAAATCTTTTATTTTATGTCACAGCTTCTACAAGTTTGAGCTTAAAAGCATGCCAAGACACTTTCATTTGTAATCCATCCTGAAGTTTTGAACTGAAGTCTACCTTTTGTGCATATTGATTCTTTGTTAAAAGACAATCACACATGCACTAGAGTCTAAAAGAGACAATATTTGAGTCTTCAGGCACTCTCCAAGCACTGGTTGTGGTCAGGCTAGAAGGATAGGGCTATGTTTTTACAAAAGTGAAAGGAAAATCAGTCTTTCTATTATGTGTCAGGGAATGACATTTTACAGTGTAACACCTGAGACAATATAACTTGGTTCCGTCATTCCAAAGTAGACAGACATTTTCAGCAACTCAGGTACCACTCAAATTAAAAAAATATAAGAATGAATAATGTATGTAGCTGTTCACCAGCCTGCTCATCCATATGGTTGTCCATCTAACAATTAATGTAACATGGAAACCTTCTGTCAGAAGACGTTATAAAGATGGTGAATGAAAGGGTAGCTTCCTGTCAAAATAGAGCAAGACAAACTCATGGATGGAGGAATAGATTAATCAAAGAATCAGCACATAGAATAGCTGTCTTGCCCATGTGAGCTCTTGGCTTGGGTGAGGTAAGATCAAACACTTTTTGACTGATATTGTTGAATGCTATAGATTTGTTCTTCCTTTGGTACTGCTATGTTATTCATAATATGAAATAGTTCATTCTTGGAAAACAAATATAACACATTATCTTTCTGAAGTGGCATCACTATTGGCTTTGAAGGGCTTTTAATTTCTATAAATTAGTTTAAAATAATTTTAAGAGCTCAGGTTTACAGTCTTGAATTGCATGAGTAATAAGCAAAATATTAAATGCTATTAACCTCACTGAGATTATGTATGTGAATATAAAAAGAAGTGTTAATCTTAAATTGTTCAACTTCGGTAGTCAGAAATCCAGCAGATTTCCTTAGCAGAGTACTTGGTGTCTGCTAAGGCACAGATGTTACCTGTTCTGCAATTGGATGAGCTAATAAAGACCCAGAAGCATCTCATCAAAGGGATTGATCCCAGAAGTACTTAATTATTCAAGTCTCTCTTACCTGTAAAGCCTCCTTGATGTAAGTGACTGTACTTTTGAAGCAAGTACTATTAGTATGAATTAGGATTTGCACAATCAGGCCCGAAATCTCTTCTAGTGGTACAGAAAAGTTACACTTCAGATTTCTCTGTGGTATTTTTAATTAGAATTCAGTTTTCCAAATGAAGAAGACAGTGAGAGAGCAAAGAAACAAGAGCCTGAACTATTCAGAATACTTACAAAGCACCTCATAATTTTTCTTTAGTATGACACTAATATAACAGTGGGAAGAATTCTCTGTGGAAAAAAAAAGGACTGCAGAATTGAATTACACACCTAGTAGAATTTACTAATGTAAATAGTTCCTCAATAAAATCCAGTGGCCAGATAAATTTTACTTGGGGGAAGTAAAGGCTTCAGCTAAATTCCATTCGAAGAATGATCAGAAGAGACATATGGTGGCAGAATGCAGTTTATATTCTCTCCAAAGATTTTTCTCATTCCATATTCATTTCCCTGGTGTCTTTACCATGCACATGTACGCCATCTTAGAGCAAAGAACGAGGAATTGCAGGTAGTAGGTGACTGCAACAAGTGATTGTTCTTTTAGCAAACACATTTTTAGTGTGGTTTCCAGCATTAACCATGTGGTGCAGTGCATGAATCCTGATCTGGAAAACCATTTAACAGTGAAGACTCCAAAATACACAATCAAATTTCCATTTTTTTTTTTTTTTTTCTGGAAAAGGGTCACCTCCTTGGTGTATACTTTCTTTCAACATTAGAAGATGCAGATGAAGGCACATAATTTGAGACATGGTCTCTTTTTTTCAGGCCTAATATACTTACTCTTCATTCTTGCGAATAATGCAAGAGATATGACAGACATGTAAAGTTATGCTATGAGCTTGGGTTAGAAGAGTTGATATCCTGAGCTGAGTCATAATCCTCCAGTAAAAGTGAGAGAACCCCTCTCCTGTCCTTGTTTGGGGAGCTCTCCTACTTGGAACAGCAATTGTCCTTTCTTATCACCTTCCACCTTCTTCCCTTTGGCAAAAGATAAAAAAAGTACTAAATTAAGTCAAAGGAAGAAAGGAATGGAAATGCAAATGGAAAACTGACAGTTATCCTCCATCTGTTTTCAGGGATAACATCTCAAGATTAGAGATGTAATAAGTGAAAGTAAAATAAGTCCCTTTACTCATAAGTCCCTTCTTTACTCATCTTACCTCTACTCTTCGGCACTCTTATCATGAGTGAGATGGGAAGAAGGGAACAGTAGCAAGTGGCATGACTGAGTTTGTAGGGGCAGGGGCAATACGGACAGAACTATAGTGCTAGAGGGAGGGAACATATTCAGAGAAGGGAAAATGGCATAGTAAAGTTCTTACAGCATATCCCTTATAAAATCCAAAGCACAACATGACAGAAAAGAAAAGCAAGATCTGAGGATATGGGTATGGGACAGGAGTTTGACCTTCTACAGTGTACAGTGCCATTTCGTCTAACTGAGACAGGAACTGGGCTGAGAGGGATAAATATCTTAACAGATGTTTTTACTGGGCCCTATTTTTGTCATAGACAAGAGTAAAGGCTCTGTTTGCATTCTGAGGATGTGTGGCTTCAGTGCATGTTTATTGATGTTTAATAGACACATGTTGCCTCTGGCAAGTTTAAAACCTCCTGAGATGCAGAACATCGCATCAGGTGTTTCAACACTTTCCAGGGGAAGGATATCCCCCATTTTTATTTCTCATTTCTTCATCAATGCACTTACTCCACCCTGACCAACTCCTGATTTTCCATTTACAAATCTGAGAGTGAAGAGCACAAGGGATGTGCAGCCCACTTCCACATGTCTGTGTGTTACACCTCTCCATATACTGTTGCTAAGTTAGCTAGGGCCCTCTTTGGGGACGGGATCTACTTTCAGATACATTTCTTCTCTTGTCCCCATTCTCTTCCCCATGGTCCATCCTGTCACCATAAGATGATGCTACACCGCATCACCACTTGACTTCGAGACCTGCCACGACGACCAAAATTGGTGAGCTCCCCCATGTATTTTGATCTACACTAACCACTGGCTATGAAGGAATGAGCAGTGGATCATAGGTTGTGCTTTCCTACATGGTGGTATTCTGCACCTCTCATCAGGCTGGACTAGGCAGAAAGTGGCAAGTGAGAACTGGGGAGTGGGATTGGAATTGGAAAACATATTTCAAACTTCATAAAAATGGGAAAGCACAAGATATTTAAATGATGATTGACTTGAAGCTGCATTGATAACTCTTCTGAGCAATGTCCAGTCTGGTTGTCTGCTAATTCAGCAGATTTCGGGTGGCATGCCCCTAATCTTTTGAGGAATAGTGAAATTATATGCACTGTCTTTGCACTTCATGAAGCAATTTATTTCTTAACATGGTCAACGTAGTGCAGCCTGGGACATAAACAGTGTTTATAGAGCAGTCCAGGCTGATGTCAGTGTCCTACAGAACTAGGTAAATTGGCAATTGTTACTAGATTTATTTTTAATAATTGTATTTTTTATTGCATATGATACTGGACCTCTTCTAACACTCAAGATGTGACCTTGACTAAACCACATAACACTACCTACATTTGTATTTCACTGTCTGTAAGAGCGGAGCAAGGCATTCTGGGACTTAACCACTCTGGGGCATTGTTATCCTCGCTATTTCAAAAGCTTTGCTCTTTCAGAGACATCAGAAATGTTTGTGTTCTTTCTTGGGTTTAGATTTGCATGCCTTCACAACACATAGCTTACAGGTGAAAGATCATGACTGATTCTATGATGATACTCCTATTTAATTATTATATTGCTTCATTTTTACCTGATGTTTTACTGTTTTTGAGCCAATCCTTGAAACCTTGGCATTGTTAAAAGTGGCTTTACGAGTCAATCTAATGCATTAACCAAAAATTCCAAGAGGGGGTTTATTTATGGGCTAAGTCTTGCCAGGTACTGCAGTTTGAATTGATAGTACAAAAATAGCCACGTGTTGAAGTCTTATTGTAGTTTAAAATTCATCCAATCCTAAAAGAACAGGTTCAAATTTCTAAAGGTCCTCCAGAGTTTTGATGTGTGAGTGGATGCTGAGGTATAAGGTTTAGTTTTAGGTATTCATACTTCCAGGCTAATCATCCTTATTTATGACTTTTAGGCACCACATTTCCATACTGTTTCTCTATAGTCATCATATGCACTCCCAAGAATGAATCTACTTTTTTGTCCATCACTTCGGGCCAGGGCTCAATGTAGTGTGCAAATTGAAGGAAATGTCTGTCAATAATGTTATTCACCCCCCTTCACTAGGACGACAGTTAACGATCTTCAACACCCAGGCGCAAATAGCCATAGGAGGGAAGGACAGAGGCCGTCTCTTCCAAGGCCAGCTCTCCGGGCTCTATTACAATGGCCTGAAAGTGCTGAACATGGCAGCAGAGAACAACCCCAACATAAAAATCAATGGAAGCGTCCGACTTGTTGGGGAAGTCCCTTCCATCTTGGGAACAACACCCACAACATCGGTGCCACCGGAAATGTCGACTACAGTCATGGAAACCACAACCACAATGGCGACCACTACCACCCGAAAAAATCGTTCACCGCCCAGCATCCAGGTGAGTCAGTTAGTCCTCTCCATTTCCTTCAGTTCTTAATATGTCTTGCTGCTCATTTGTAAGTTCATAGAAGCTATGTTCTCTGAATAATGCTCCATGTAACTCTATTTTTAAAATGTCCTCCTGTGTTGGACACAAGACAAACAGCTGGCTGAATTGTTGTGGCGTAGACATGTAAGAGCAGGAATAGATTTTGCTCCTGATCTAGTGCAATCTGATTTGTGTGAGATTGTCACAGTGTGAACAAGAACAAGGTTTTAACTATGTTTCAAAAGTTCCATATGTGGAGAAATGTATTCTGAAGAGAGTTACGCAGCTTAATGGGAGGTGGGTGTATGGTTATTTATTATTATGACAGGATGATCTGCTGCAATAGTGAAGTACATAATGAGGAAAAAAGCAATGGAGCATTACTTCGATTTGGAGTCATTTTTTATTTCCCTTTTATAGCCTTCCTGCAGAGAATTTTGAAGAAATGCTATCAAGATCAGTTTCTTGCAAAACATAGATGTTCCAACATAGAGCAGTTCCCATCTATTTGGTAAAAATCATTCCTGAATAAAAAATTTAGATTATCTGACTTAATTGTGGCAGTTATTTCAACCCTTAAAATGCAGTGGTTTTGGAACCACTTTTGTGGCAGCCAGAATATGGTACTGATTAGAAATAAACACCTTCAATTGGCTCTCCTTGACTGTGCGAAGAAAAGAATCATTTGACTAATCAATCTGAGCTGTGGATTACTTATTTCAGCAGTATGTTATCATGTTATTGTGTTATCAACTAGAATGAAATGTGTTTTGAAATCATTAGAGAGATGGCGCTACTGGAGGTACTCTAGCTAAGGGTCTCTAAAGTGAGTAAGGGACTGGAGCATTTCTTGTGTGAAGAAAGGCTGAGAGCTGGGACTGTTTATCCTGGAAAAAAGAAGGCTTATGGGGAGATCTTAACTGTGTGTACAAATACCTGAAGGAAGAATGTAAAGATGACAGTGGTACCCAGTGACAGGACCAGAGACAATGGGCACAAACTGAAACACAGGACTTTCCCTCTAATCATTGGGAAACATTTCTAACAGGAGGGTGACTGAACATGGGTGCAGGTTGCCCCAAAAGTTTGTGGGGAGTCTGTGCTGTTAAAATTCAAAAGCCATCTGCACATAGTCCTGGACAGCTGATTCTGCATGATCCTAGTTGATCAGAGGTTTGGATAGATGACCTCCAGAGGTCACTTCCAACCACAGCAATTCTGTGAGGTACGTCTGGCTACAGTGGAATTTACAACTGTAAGAGTAATTAATTCCAAGCTGAGGTTTAACAGTGCCCACTTTGGTACTCTGTAAATCCAGATGGCAACCGGACTGGGATTAATTGAGTTATTAGCCTCAAACACCCAGTAGGTGATTTTATAAAGTTCCAGCTAAATGAGGGGAAATTACCCCCGTTTGGTCACTGTTTGTCATAAACTTTGTGAGAATTTCCTTCTCTGCAGTGACTAGTTCTAATTTGAGAGAAAATATTTGTACAGTTCCATCTCCAGAATGATGAGGTCTGTGGTTCTTATCCTGCCCTCTATAATTTTTAAAGGCAGCAGAACTGTGTTTAGCTATACCAGTGGACAGAAAATGGCACTGGACCTTTATGGGCTGGGTCAAGCTGGAAATGATGCTGGCTTGCCTGAAAAGGAACTCTTTCTGAAAGCTTCCTGCCTAGCCTACGTGGCAGTTCACTCAGCCTACAGAGACCACTGTGTGCTGAAAGAGCATAAAGAAGATTTAATAAAGTGTCAAAGTGCTTCTAAAAACATGGTTAGAGCAGCGATTTCCTGGATACACATGCACCACAACAAATGGCCTCATCTCAGCTGATATTAAAGCAATAACTCTTTGACACTTCATGCTACTCACTGAAAGAAAAATAAAGGTCAATATGTACCTCCATTACAACTTTCTGCATTTCAATATCGTGCCATTTTATCGCTGTTGCAGCAGAGATAGCTGGGCTTTCTTCCTTGTTTTTGGTGGAATTTGATTCTGTCTGCTTAAGTTGCAGTATCTCTGTGGTGAAAGTGAGAAGAAATTGTCTTTTCCTTTTTGGGAAGTATCTCCAGCCACAGTTTTTCAGGTGCCTAATGGTTATTTTATCTAGCTCTTGTTCGACATCACCATCATCAAGCCTGCTTACAATTTTAGATCCAAGTGGTGGAAAAATCTAATAGAGCAAGTTTACTCTTTGAGAAACATAAAATATAGAAACCTATGGCTATGCGAGGTACAAATACAGTTAGTTATTACCTTGTTCCAGATTTCTCTTTTCTGCTCAGAAATAAACAGTTATTCTTTGCTTTCAAGGCTGTTTAAAGTTTAGCCTCTTCTGATTCCAATCAGCACAATTCAAGCACTTTTTGTTCACCTCTTAGATTTGATCATAGGAATCTTTCTGCTTCCTGATATCATACAAAAGGCAATAGCAGGTTGTTTTTCCAATCCTGTTGAAACTTTTTTGTCATCATGATGCATGCCAAAAAGTAGTCAAAGAGTTAGGCTGATGATGGTCTAAGACAAACTGTTTATCAAGTAAATCAATGTTGTCACATTTTTGTGTTTTATTATCCATGTTTCTGTATCCACGTGTGGTATCTTGTTTTATGCTAAGATTGCAGACTCCTTGGGTTCAAAATGTACTTTTTATTTTGCACATGCACATTACTTGGCCCAGAACAGTTCTGGCCAGTAGTATAAATACCTGCATGATACAAATGAAAGTGAAGCATCTAATGTGAAATAGCACAAATCATGGAAAAGAATTACTGTTCTTCCTCTGTTAGGAGTATCTGTGCTACTTGTATTACTCAATTTCATATGTAAGTAATTTAAACTATTCCTTTTTGAAATGCATATAAACCTTGTGCAGAATATCAAGTCAGTAATCACAAAGTGTTACAGAATCCAGAGGAATTTCAGAAGGACTTAGATGTACACGTTACTTGTTAAGAAACTACAGAAGAGCATGATAAGTGCAAAGATATCTTCTGTTTGTAACACACACCAAGACACTTCCTGCAGTTAGGTAGTCTGTGTACTGACAGAAGTATTTTAGAGCACAAAACAGCTGAGTAAAACAGCTGAGAAAATGAAGAGGTTTAGAAATACACAGTACATGTTCAGGTCTATGATATCCATCAACTTTTGAAGATCTCAGACATGGTATATAGTTTTGGACAAACAACCAAGATAAAGGGAATTGAGATAAAAATATTGTTGGGAATAATGCTGAAATTAGCATTTAAAATGTCTATAAATTTATACTAAATTTCTGCAAGGCAGTAAAACTCAAGGCAAAGGAGGACAGCTAGGATTTGAGTGAGAAACAGGTGAGATATATGGCTGTATGCTATACTGCTGAGAATGTTCCTGTGATTAAGAGAAGTAAGTAGGAAGAACTGACTTTTTTTTGCTAACTGAAAATAAGGGAAAGAAAGACGTTTCGACTTGTGTCTGTTTCAGTGAGTTGCAAATGGTGCTTGTGCTCTGCTGCCACAAGAAGAAGCATTGATTTGACTTTCTCATGCATTGAGAAAGGTTTTGTCCTGGATTTAAGTACAGTAAATCTGGAAGTGGCATGTACTAATTTCTTGGTGCCTCTCAGGGCCCTGACACATCAGACTCTCCTGTGATAATATCCGCTCTGAGACTTCTGCTTTGCCATGTTAGCCACAAAGGCCTGAAAGACAAGCTGCTAGCTTTTCTGTGTGGTACAGTAAGGTGCCATGCAGACTGCTTCTGCATGAGAGTCACTGTGCTGAGCCACACCGCATTCTTGCAAGGTTGTCATGCTTCTCACAGGGTTACTTCATTAGTCAGTGGTGCTGGAATCCCTATTTGTCCCTATTTGCTGATTTAAAGAACAACTTCAGTTATTCATGAAATACTTCAGGGATTTTTTTGGTTTGGGAGACCTCTGTAAAAACAGGTTAAAGTGACACTCATTCTCTTGTCTTCTGCTTCCATGGCAACTGCTTAAGTGGTCAGAATTCTCTTTTATGAGTCGCTGTTCAAAGCTTTTTAGGAGACTTTCTGTATGCTTTTATGTGGCTCATTCTGTCTTTGCTTACAGCTGGGTCATTCAGTTTTCAAACAATTTATGCGAAGTTAATTACTAAATCTAGTCTAGAGATCATTCATCGTCATACACATCTTCCATTCCAAACACACTCAGTTCATCAAATCCAAGTGGAGAACCAGGTAATCTGGAATCCCTAGGGCAGGTCCCTGATATGTCTGGCCTATGGCATGGATGGTTGAGGATCCCAAGATCAAAACAGTTATCTGTGAACAAAAGATCAGAACCCTTCTGGGAGGACAGATGAACTTATGCTCTCCATGTGGAACCAGAAACTGTGTGCTCTGTTACTTCTCCAGGGCATGCCTCAACTCCTTGAGATGTGGAAAATGACACCTGCCTAACTGTTCAAACTATAACTTGTAGGTGACAAGAATAATTTACTTGTGGATGTTTTCAGCTATGATCTTAGAGCTGTAGAATGACAATTCATGATTTATTATATGCAGACTGTTCTCTCTAGAGAGCAGAAGAGGGGATCATCCCATTATCTATATGGAGAGTCCAGCCCATTGTCATGGCTTAGAGTAAGGTTCTCAACCTTTATTTTTAACCAATAGGCTTTTCAGCCTTCTAACTGTGTTTTCTGTTGAGTGTCCAATAATTTTGATTAATGTCTTTCTATAACGTGTAGCTCCAGGCTAAATCCTTCCTTACAGTGTATATCACAAAGGAAAATAGCACAGAAGATTTGTCAGTCTAATTAGACTTTCACTGTCAGTAAGACAAATAAAATTGTCTCACCCTTGGTCTTGCCTAGGTACTTTCTTTTACACTCATAGATAATAATTTGGTAGGGAAAGAAATTGGCCTTTAATTTGGTTTTTGCTTCTTATAAGTCACTAGTGACATTTTCATCCCAAGACTGCAAAGCTGTAA